CGGATGACACAGATCCCCTTGTTATGATGACGAAAATGGAGATGGCTCCACAGGAAGCATATGCTAATATTGGTGGATTGGATAACTGGATTCAAGAAATTAAGGAATCTTTGGAGCTTACCCTCATTCATCCTGAGTACTAGGAGCAGATAGGTATTAAACCACTTAAAGGTGTCATTCTGTCTGGCCTGTCTGGCCCAGGTAAAACCTTGTGAGTCAAAACTATGGCAAGCCAAACCTCAGCAGCCTTCCTCGGAGTTGTTGATCCTGAGCTTATGCAGAAGTACTTAGGAAATGGAACCAAACTTGCTCTGAGTTAGCCAAGGAACATGCTCCATTAGTTTTCATTGATAAAATCCATGCCATTGGGACCAAAAGGTATGATTCAAATTCAGATGGAGAAAGAGCAAGTCAGTGAATAATGTTGGAATTGTTGAAGTAGTTGGATGCGTTTGATTCTAGGCGAGACGTGAAAGTGATCATGGCCCCAGACCGAATAAAAGCTTTGCATCCAGCACTAATCAGACCAGGACGTCTTGACCGGAAGATCCAGTTCCCTCTGCCAGATGGAAAGACCAAGAAGCATCTTTCAGATTCATACAAGCAGCATGGCTTTGGAAGATGGTGTAACTTTAGATGATTTGAGCATGGCTAAGGATGAATTGTCTGGAGCAGACAGCAAGGCAATTTGTATAGAAGCTGGCCTGATGGCCCTAAGAGAACGTAGAATGAAAGTAACAAGTGAAGATGTCAAAAAAATCTAAAGAAATGTGCTTTAGAAGAAACAAGAAGGCAACCCAGAGGGACTATCTCTAAATAAGAGTTAAATATAGATTACTAAATTTATATATTATATGGTAATTATGTATAATCATAAATTATTTAATTGTTAATCAATTTTTATATGTTATTCAGATATGATGTGTGAGCTACCCATTGAACTGTGCTAGTTGTTTGTTAGTCGATGCCAACATTTCTCTCTTTCTGCTCAAGTTCCCCTGGGTTAGGATTACCTTTGTAGAATCATCGGTTTAGTGCTGGAAGGGACTTTAGAGGTGATTAAATCTAACCTCATCATTTCATTTTTCCCTCTTTTAAAGATGTTAATATTTTTGTATTAACAAAAATTTTCTCTTCCTCCCACCTCCTCTTCCAGTTGAAAAAAGAAAAGTAAAATCCTTTAAGAAATATGAATAGTCAAGCAAAACTCCTCATTTTACAGATGTAAAATCTCAACACTGCACTCTTTCTCACCCCTGATATCCAGTCTGTTGCCAAGGCTTGTCATACAAGCTGGGATTTGAACCCACCACTTCCTAGGACCTCCAGAGTCTCAACTTTGGGGCTGGAGTGTTGGGAGGAAAACTCTTTTTTTTTTTTTTGGTGAGGCAATTGTTAAGTGACTTGCCTGGGGTCATACAGCTAGTTAAATGTCATATGTCTGAGACTGGATTTGAATTCATGTCCTTCTGACTTCAAAGCCAGAGCTCTATCCACTGCTCCACCTTGCTGCCCCTGCAAAAAAAAAAACCCCAAAACAAAAAAAAACCTCTTACTAAATATTCCTGAAAGACAGAGATGGTTGGGCTGGGCCAGGAGGTGGAGGGTGGGGATGGGATAAGGAGAGCTGACTGGGATGGTTGCAGGGAATCTCATTAGAATCACAGCCTCTTCTGCTCTTTGCTTTCAGAGGCTTTTCTGATCTCCAGCCCTTATTATGGGGCCATCACTCAACATGTATATCTCTATGGGAATGTTCGACTGGTCTATGCCCATCTGGATAGCAGGGTAAGAGATGCCAGGACTCTCCGATGGGACCTGAACTTTGCGGTCGGACCACAAGGAGAAAAGGGTATTTTCTGAATTTCGAAATTGGCACTATGGTGGAGAAGACAATTCATTTGAAGTAGCCAGGACTAGAGATGAAAGGGAAGTGAAGTCACTTATCATCTCCCAGATAGCTCAGGGCTAATCCCAGGTGATTGGTTAGGATTCTCAGTGGCCCTCAAGCTCTATCCTCTGGAGAAGAAATGGAATGCCAAGATCTTCTCCTCAGGGAGCTTACAGTCTAATGGCAAGGTGGGGAGGGCAAGACACATACTTGTATGAATATTCACCAGGCACAGACATGTATGTGAAAGGTAGTTCCTCCAATCAATCAATAAGAATTTACTAAGCACCTCCTATTTGCCAGGCGTTGTACTGGACACTGGGGCTATAAAGACAAAAGGGAAACACTGTGTGCCTCCAAGGGGCTTATAGTCTATCAGGTGACCACATGGACATAATATAATATAATTTAAAAAATAATGATAGCTAGCATTTATATAGTGACAACTGTGTTGCCAGGCATCGAATTAAGCACTTTACAAATAATGTCTCATTTGATTCTCATTGGATCCCATCCTTCCTGGGAGGTAGGTGCTATTATGATCCCCATGAAGAAATTGAGGCAGACAGAGGCTAAATGTTGTCAGTATTTATGAAGTATATGCAAAATATATATAAAGGATTTTTCAGGGGCCGCCACTGGCAGCTGTGGCAATTGGGAAAGCCTCATGCTGAAGATGGCCTGGGCTGAGTCTTGAAAGAGACTGGAAATTCTAAGAGGTAGGGGTAAGGAAGGAGTGCATTCCAGCGGAATAACCAATGCAACGGTAGGGAGACGAGGAACGGAGGCTGTGTGTGAGGGAGAAATAAGAAAGCCAGCTTGACTAGACTGTAGGGAATGTGAAGGAGAATAATGTGCAGTAAGTCTGGAAAGGAAGATTGGGGCCAGGTTATGAAGGGGTTTAACTGCCAGAGAGCAAACTATTTGTAATCCTAGAGGTGATAGGGAGCCCTAGAAATATGGGGAGGGAGGGAGGAAGGAAGGACTTAGTGTTTGGGGTCTTTGTCAGCCAATGGGATTTAGCACAAGTGATTTGAAAGGTCCCTCTAGGTCACTGGAATGGACAGCCGCCCCTTCCAGCTCACGGTCAAGAAGTTGGAGATAGCCCTTCTGGGAGCCAAGTCTGAGGTATGTGGACGTCAGCCCCAACCAGTGATAACTCCAGTTGTTGAGGCTGATGCCTTCCCAGGCTTTGAAGCTTGTGGGATCCCTTGGGATGTCAGGGCATGGTGAGAAGTAGGTGGCTTTTCTGAGTAAGAGATGACCACATAAGGATTTATCTTCTCCAACAGATTGCTATGTGACCTTGGACAAGTCACTTCCCTGCCCCAAATCTCAATTTCCTTATCTGTATAATGAAGGTGTTCTGTCTTCAGAGATGAGAATATCTAGCATTTATAGGCATTTTAACATTTGCAAAGCACATTGCTTATGTTATCTCATTTGATTCTCATGATAACCCTGAGAGAAAGGGCCATATTATCTTAATTGAGGAGGACTATACATCTGAGGGAGTTTCTGAGGCAGGATCTCAACACAAGTCTTATATATTCAATCCCATTACTATCTACTGCACCCCCAGCCATTTCTGATTTCTTTTTTTCTTTCCTTTTTTTTTTAAAGGCAATTGGGGTTAAGTGACTTGCCCAGGGTCACACAGCTAGTAAGTGTGAAGTGTTTGGTCTGAGGCCAGATTTGAACTCAGGTCCTCCTGACATCAGGGCCAGTGCTCTATCCACTGTGCCACCTAGCTGCCCCCATCTCTGATTTCTGAAGGTCTTTCCAGCTCCAACAGTTTACATAATTCAGCGACACTGTCCTGAGTCATGATTTTTGCTATGGGGGCTGGTGATGGTGGATGGAGGGAAGTTAGGTGCTTCCTGGTCCATCCCCTCTATCCACACTACTCATGTTGTTTCAGGGAATTAATGTCAAAGGCCTCGTTCTCATCAACCCCCAAAACCCTCTGGGTGACATCTACTCTCAGGAACAGCTGCAGGAGTACCTGGAGTTTGCAAAGAGGTGTGGTCTCACTCCTCCCTGCCCTGCCCCCATTTATACTTGGCTGAAAATAGGAAGCCCTCCCTCCACTGTTGGCCATTTGTGTATGTGTTAGTGGGAAAGGACGGAGTCCCTTTCCTTCTGAAATATGGATTCTATCTACTGGTAGTAGGTTGGAGATGAGGGATTTGGGGCAAAGTAGGGCAGAGGGCTGTCTAATGGCCAATTCTCCCCCGGCCCCCCGGGTTGGAAAGAGAGAGCAGTGGCCACTCATTGGGAGATTGTTTTGTGGATGTTGGGGTAGACCATGCAGTTCCTGGTGACAAAGATGTCACCCTCTGTCATCAGGCCTGTGGTCGAGCCCCAGGGGCCTTTCACTGTCTTTGCTTTCCTCCAACCCAGGCACGAGCTTCATGTAATAGTGGATGAGGTGTACATGTTGTCAGTTTTTGATGAGTCCGCCATGTTCCAGAGTGTCCTGGGCATGGACAGGTGAGGGCTGGGGCACATTCCCTGATTGGAGCATGTCACCCTGGGATATGGCCTGATGTGGGAGTGAGTACTCTTATCATCTGAGAACCTCTGCATACAGCCCAGCTTCAGGTGTCCTGCACGGCCTGAACTCTGAGACTTCCTTCTCTTGAGTGATGGCTTCCAGTGAAAACCAACAGGGGTCCCGAGTTTTGATTGCCTTCATTCTGAGAGGTAGTATGGTGTTGTGGAAAGAAGGCTGTGCCTGGAATCTGAGGACCTGGGTTCAAATCCCACCTCTGAGGCTTGCTACCTGTGAGGCCTTGGGCAAGTCATGTAATAACTTCTCTCAGCCTCAGTTTCTTCATCTGTAAAATGGGAACAATACCAGCACCCAAGTCACAGGGTTCTTCTGGGGCTCTCATGAGCTAGTGTATACACTCTGTAAATCTGAAGTGTTCTATCATGCCAGCTGTCATCCTTAACTCATTGGTTCTTTGAAATGACTCTGTGAGATAATGTTGGGAAATTAAAATCCTCATTTCTCCAGAGAGATATATTGCCTTCCCTTTGGTCACACAGCTGGCAAACATCAGAGCTGTGAGTTTGACCTGGGGTCTCCTGTTTCTGAAAAGCCACTGCATTGGGCAGCATAGATAATGAAAACTGAGAAGGAGAAATTAAGTGATTTATTCAGAGCTCTGTGGAAAGTCAATGGCAGTCAGAGCTAGACCCCAAATTCATTCATTCATTCATTCATTTATTCATTGAGTACCGAGGGTCATGTGCTTTTTCTACTGGATCATATTGTGTCTTCTATTCCTTTGTGCATATCCTCACTACAGTCTTCCTGATCCCCAGAGGACCCATGTGATATGGGGGACCAGCAAGGTGAGCCCCTCTATCAGACCAGACTCAGGAGTACTGGAGTGAAGAAAAGAATGAATTTCCCCCTGGGAGTTGGGGAATAGTTGACCACCATTCAGAGTGTCTTTTCAACAGGACTTTGGGATCTCAGGCTTTCGCTTTGGCACCCTCTACACGGAAAACCAGGATGTAGCCAATGCTGTGGCCTCCCTTGGTTGTCTGCATGGCATCTGTGGCACTGTCCAGTACCAGATGGCACAGCTGCTTCGGGACCGAGGTGACACAGCTGGGCTTTTGACTTGGAGCTGGGGTCTCAGGCTCAATAAAAAATAGGGAGTGGTGTGGAAAACTACATACAGTAGATTTTACCCATCTTCCCTACTGTGATGGGTCTTGGAAGTAGGTAGGGAGAAGTTTTTACCGTTAAAATTGATGGGGTGATGCTTTCAAAGGAGAATTGGTGGGGTGGTTTAATTTCTCTTTGGGGTTCCATTCCACCTGAGCAGACTGGATCAACCAGGTATACCTATCTGAAAACCATGCCCGGCTCAGAGCTGCCCATGCCTACATCACAGAGGAGCTGGAAACCCTGAACATCCCCTTCCTCAGGACCAAAGCTGGTTTCTTTATCTGGATAGACTTGAGAAAGGTAAGGACAGCTGTGGGTTGGGGCCAATTCTGGATAGATAAAGGAATGACTTGTTCATTGGTTGAACAGGCATTTATGTGCCTGGCGCTGACCTAAGTGCTGGGGACCTGGAGACGATAATGAAATAGACCTTGCCTTCAGGGAGCTTATATTCTATAGTGGGGGAGGGGAGGAAGATTCAAAATTCAAATACATAAATGAATGCAAGAAATATACAAAATAATTAAAAAGTAATTTTGGGTAGGGGAGGAAACTAGCAACCACTGTTGGGGGAGATGAGGAAAAGTTTTGTGTAATGAACAGTGTGCCTGGAAAAGTTATCTGGATCCAGATGGTGAAGGATTGTAAATGTCAAAAAGAGGAGTGTTATCCTAGGGGCAATAGGGAGCCACTAGACCTTTCAGCAAGCAAGCGCTTCATGTAGAACTGAGAGCAGACATGGCCCGAAGTCAGCTTGGCAGCTGTGTGGAGGATGGTTTTCAGAGGGGAGAGATTCAAGGTCGAGAGACCATAGGGATTGTGGGAGGAGCTGGTGGAGAGCTTCTCTCTGTGAGTCTCCTAACTTGCTCCTAGTATCTGTGCACAGACACCTTTGAGGAGGAGTTCTCCTTATGGCACCGTTTCCTAGACCACAAGGTACTTCTGTCCTGTGGAAAGGCCTTTGAGTGCAAGGAACCTGGCTGGTTCCGCCTCGTCTTCTCGGACAAGATCCCCAGGCTGCGGCTGGGTGAGAGAGATTCACCCTTTTCCCGGGCCCTGAGCCCCCTCCTCTCTTCTTCCCACTAGCCTGCTGAACTCTGGATCCCTAAAATTGTCTCCACCTCCCAGGCCATCTCTTTTCTTCCTCTCTCTTCCTTTTGATCTTCTGGGTCTTGCCATTTACTCTATGGCTCCTCCCTTAGGACTTTCCAGCCTCTTCATCCACCCCGAAGCTGAACCTGCCTCTATTTGTTATTTCCCCCAGTTAGAGTGGGAGGGCCTGGAGATCAGGGGATGTTAACTTTACTATTTTTACTTGTGGCACGTAGTGAGCACTTAATAAATGTTTTCTTCCTCCTTTCTTTCTTTCTTTCCTTCTTTTTCTCTCTCTCTTTTTTCTCCCTTTCTTCCTTCTTTTCCTTCCTTCTGTCCTTTTTTCCTTTCTTCCTTTTCCTCCTTACCTTCCTTCCCTTTCTTCCTTCTTTTCCTTCCTTCTGTCCTTTTTCCTTCCTTTTCCTCTTTTTGTCTTTATTGTTATTCCTACTGTCCTTTTTTCCTTCTTTCCTTCTTTTCATTCTCCTGTCCTTTTTTCCTTCCTTTCTTCTACCTTTCTCCCTTCCTCCTTTCCTTCCTGTCTCTCTTCCCTTCTATTTGTATTTTTAGTGCTCAGCATAAATTGCCTGATAATTCTTTCATCCATCCACCCATCCATTAATCTATTCATTCATTGATTCAGTTTTCCCCTTTGATTCAGTTTCACTAACCCTCCCTACATACTTTTCTGTGTGCAAGCCCCTTTTCACAGAACTGGGAATATAAAGACAAAGGCCATTAAAGAAGCATTTATTAGATTCTTGTTGTATGCCAGGCACTGTAATAGGAGCTGCTGATATAAGACAATGCGGCAGGTTCTGCCCTTAAGGAGCTTCTGGCCTGCTAAGGGGAATGCCATGCTGAGCAGTCAGTCAGTCCAAATTTGTTAAGTTCCTGCTGCGTACGTGGCAGGTGGGAGTTCTCAGACTGTACATTCTGTCAGACTGGGGCATAAGTAGCTAAAATACAAGCTCATGTGATGGGGCCAAGAGGAGATCTAGAAACAAATAGTGTAGAGAAGCTTGAGAATGGGGAGAACGCTCTTAGCAGAGGGTAACTGTGAAGGCTTCATGGAGAAGGTGGCCCCAGAGCTGAGCCCGATGGGAAGAGGACTCCATCAGGAGGACTTTCCCCGTGACTGCTCTAATTCCTTTTAGAAACCCAGGCCCCTCAGGTTTTCTTTCTTACCCCTCCTCCCCAATGCCCACTGGCACCTCCATGCTGCTTGATCTTTCCTTTCCATCCTCAGGCATTCAGAGGATCCGAGAGGTGCTTGAGAAGGAGCCCCAAGTGGCCAAGACCGCTTGCCCTGCCAGCCCTTGGAGAAGAGCAGTCAGTTGAGGTGAGGTGGCCTCTGACTCAGAGCCCATGGAACCAGGTGCTAAGTGTGGGCTGGAAACAAGACTGCTTCACCTGAATGACTCGCCGTAGAAGAGCAAGCCTAACAGAGCAGTTTACCAGAGGGAAGCCCGGGATGGCCTGGCCCCAGGAGAGAGATCATACTTTGAACTGTTGAGCGCCTCTCTCTGCCATGGGTGATACTCTTCTGTTTCTCCTTTTGCCCAAGCAGAATGGGCAGGAAACTGCTGGGCAAAGCTGGCCTCTGCTCCTTTCCCTGGGAGTCCTCAGCCCCTTCTTGAAGCATCAAAGTGAAATAAAGGCTTCTTTCTCTTATTGTTTTCTCTGTTGTTCAGTCAGGAAGCTGACTGCTCTGAGGGCTGGGAATGCTCAGGTGCTGGGGTATGGAGACAAAACAACGGAAGCCCTGCTCTCGTTTAGATTCTATTGGGCAGACAAGCTGTGCACATATCAGTATTGGTATTGGAACTGGACCATTGATTTTACTGTCATAGGAAGCCTGGGTGAGTGTTGTGCTAGAATTATATCTGTCCGCCACATTTCAAAAATTGATCGTCTCAAGGTACAGCACTTTGGTAGAGTGTAAGATAAACACTACTTTCTCTGGTAGCACTCAAGGGGAAAGTAATACTCATCTTATTCTCTCCAGCTTAGCTCCTTTCCATTAAACACTGGTTACTCAAAAGACCGTCATGTGTTTCTTTATCAAAGTGAGCAGTAAACAGAAATTGGGGAAATTATACAGATCAAATGAACTGGGACAAGGTTGCACTTTCCAAGGAAAGAGAATGGTTTTACCTAGGCAAATCCTCTCTTAGCATTCTTCAGGGTTTTTAGGTACTGGAAAGCAAGGGACATGTTGGGTGGGTTTCTTACGTGTTTTTGACTCCAGAAAGGAATACTCTATCGTTGAAAAGTATAAGCTTGCCTTTCTCAACTATCTCAAAGTCCTCTAAGCATATCTGATGAGATCCCTGTTCTGCCCCTGGCAGCCTGAAGTCGAGGCTCAGGGTTGTCTCAGCCTTTCAGGAATCCGTGGTCCCTTAGATGAACCACACTGTAGGCAGAATCACAAGGCTGTCCTTTAGGGTGCTGTCCAAACTGAGTGGGTGGAGATTTTACATTTGAAACAGATGAAGGTAGTTACTTTAACAGCAGAATGGATTAGGAAAGGCTGGGTACAGAAGCTGCCCTGGATTTACTTCCTGAAGGAAGCCAGGGCTTCTGTGAATCTGAGGGGAGTCAGAGGCCTTATTTCTGTATTTCCCAACAACTGATAAGGCTTGCAAAGCACTTTATAAATGTTGGCTCATTTGAGCTACACCAGCCTGATGAATAGGTTCTCCTCTGGGCATGATCTCCATTTTATAACAGACTCAGAGAGGGTGTAAGATTTGCCCCTGGTCTCAGGAGGAGTCAGAGGAGAGATGTGAACTCAGGTCTTACCAGTTCCAAGGCTTTCCTGCAAACATCATCCCTTGATAACGACTTCAGGATTGTCCCCCTTTTACAGATGGGGACAATGAAGCTGAGAGGTTGTGTCTCAGCTGTGGTCACACAGCTAGCGTCTCAGATTAGGGATTTTAATAAAGATGATCTCATCTGATCCTCCCAGAGCCCTTCGATAGCGGTACCGTAGGTATTATCGTCCTCGGACAGTGGAAAGAGCCCTGCACTTGGAGTGAGAGGACCCGTGTTCAAGTCCAGATGTCTTGGGCAAGTCTTAGCTTCTTGGCCTTGATCCCCTCATCTGAAAAACGAAGGAGCTGAACTAGATGATCTCTGATAGCTTCCGACTGTAACCTTACGATCCCATTTTATAGATGAGGAAACACTTTCAGAAGGGGGACGGTGCCTTGTCCGAGGTCACAAAGATAGTAAGTAGCACATTGGAACCCAGTGCTCCTGAGTCCCGGATTTCAGTCCAGCCCTAACACCTCCTGTGATGACTCCTCGGTTCGAACTCGAACCCTACCCCTATCCCTAAGGTCTATGGAAGATAGGCAAAAGTCACCGACGCGCTTGGTTGCTCAGGCGACAGATGCCGCTTATTTCCGCGCTTGCGCAGGTCGTTCCTTCCAGGCTTTGCTTCGTAGAGTGGGTTGCATGCTTCTGGGAGGGGGCGGACCTCGCTTTTCGACCGGCGGAGCCCGCGCTGGCACCTCCGGGCCGCCAGAGGGCAGCCGCCCGCCCAGGCCGCTGGCTCCCCTCGGACTTTGCTCCCGCATGCGCAGTTCACCGCGCGCAGCCTGTCAGTGTCAGGGGGCTGGGCCGGCCTCCGAGCGTGTCTGTTGCTGCCGGCCTCTCTTCCTCACCCGGCCCGGAACTGGAGGCGACCCCGGCCCAAAGCCCCTCATCGTCGGCCTCTCGTCCCTGATCCGGGCATGAGGCGGTGACGGAGCCCGGGGGCGCCGCGCGGGGCCTGAGGCGGAGGTGAGGCTGGGGCTGGGGCATGGGCGGTGTGCCCCCCAAAATGGGGGGTGGGGGATAGTGTGATCCCCGGAGGGAGGGAGCTCAGGGGCGATGTGTTCCCCCGGAATGGGGAATGAGGAATAGTATGACTCCCCCAGTGGGGGAAGGAGGTCGGGGTGATGTGCTTCCTTGGAATGGGGGGTGGGGGACAGTGTGACCCCTTCGGGGGGGGAGGGAGGTCAGGGGTGATGTGCTCCCCCTGGAATGGGGGGTAGGGGACAGTGTGACCCCCGGAAGTGGAAGGTCAACGGTGATATGCTTTCCCCCGGAATTGGAGGGTGGGGGATAGTGTGATACCCCAGTGGGGGGTGGGAGGTCAGAGGAAATGTGCTCCCCCCGGAATGGGGGGCGGGTATGATAGTGTGACCCACCCCAGTGGGGGAAGGGGTAGGGGGTGATGTGCCCCGCCAGGAGAATGGAGAAGTGTCATGGAATAGCCCCCCATCCCCATGCCCACCACCAGCAGAATGGTGGGAAGAGCTATCAGGTGTTCTACACCTCAGCCAACTGGGAGAATCAGGGCAATGCACCCCAAAAGACAGGGGAAGGGAGTTGGCAGAAGGTCAAATGGGAGAGGAAGGAAAGAAGAAAAAGGGCCCCCTTCTGCCTCCCCAACGTGGTTTGGGGAGGAGACTGATTCTGGATATTTGGAAAAAACACCCATCCCTCTTCTTTAAAATGCAGACATTCAGAATTTGTTAACTTTCTCAAACGTTTCCATTTCTGTCCCCTTTGCTCTCCCTCTTCTCATGGTCTTCCGTTCCTCTTTCTCATTGGCTTTCCCCAAATTTGTTTCCTTTGATCTCATCCTCCTCTCTCCCTAAACTCTTAACCTGCCACAGGGATTTAGTAAGATTTCCTTCTCAGCCACAGCCACACTCCCACTTTGACCTTTCCCTTCCTGCCACCCCTGCAGGATTCGAGGTAGCTCGTGCCCCTCCCAACTTGATGCTTGTTTCATCTTGCACTTAGCTCCGTGCCTGGCACGTAGTAGGCAGACCTATCCTTTAGGAAAAATGTTTTGACAGCTATCTAGAGGTGAACTAGGTAAGGGGCTGTGTGAGTGGAGAAAGGGGGATATACATGAGAGGTGCTGTGAAGGCAGAAACAGCGAGATTTGGCAACAGGTTGGGTACATGGTGTCATCAAGGATGACAGCGAGATAGGGAACGTAGGTAACTGGGAAGATGAGATGGTAGCACTCTGGGGAAATTTGGAAGGCAGAAGGGTTTGTGGAGGGAGGGGTGGTGAATGACTTTCTCTTTTGGTCATGTTGAGTTTGAGATGCCTGTAGGACATCCAGTTGGAGAGGTCCAAAAAGCAATTGGTGGTGTGGGACTTCAGCTTAAGAGAGAGACTTTGAGACTTGGGGAAAATAATTTCATTTCTCTGGCTCTCAGTTACTTCATCTGGAAAAAGGGGATTGGATTAGATGATTGCTGAAGACTTCCTGAAATCTGTGGTTCTGAGTTTTGAATTCTGAGTTTTGATCTTGGTTATACTCCTGCTGGAGTGAGAGGGTTCCTGGTTTAATCATTGGAAGATCCTGAGTTCAGTTTTTATTATTGTTATTGTTGTTGTTATTATTATTTTAGCCAGGCAGTCAGGTTAAGTGACTTGCCCAGGGTCACACAGCTAGTAAGTGTCAAGTGTCTGAGGTCGAATTTGAACTCAGGTTCTCCTGACTCCAGGGCCAGAGCTCTATCCGTGGTGCCACCTAGCTGCCCCTGAGTTCAGTTTTTAAAAGCAATTTAACTAAGTGGTTATTATCTTGGGGATGTTATAGGGTTATAGAGTTATAGACTCTAGTATTTTAAAGCCAAGACTTAGATCATGCCGGATTTATAGTCAGAACACTGAAGTTTGAGTCCTGGCTTTCTCACCCACTGATAGGTCAGGTGAATTAACCATTTACCTTCTGAGTCTAAATGTCCACTTAACATGTGCTGATGTTACAATCAATAACATTGTAACACATGAACCTCTTTCAGATTTGTTCTGAGAAAAGTATTTTGCAAACTATGAGGATAGAGATAAGGACTGAACCTGTGATTTCATTGATATAGGGAACTCCTGGGTAAGGAAACTCTCTACTAATGCAGGTTGGCACCTTCTTTGCAATTTATAAACTCCTAGAGAGTTGCCTAGAATATTTAGAAGTTCAGTGACTTGTCCAGGGTCACACAGACAGTATGTATCAGGTGTGGTTCTTGACCTCAACTCCTTCTGTTTTTGAGACCAGCTCTCTATCCAAAAGTCTTTCTAAACTTGAAAGAATTTTATGTAATTGTGAGCTCTTGTCTACACCATCACCTATTATATTACAGGTGAGGAGCCTGAGGCCCACAGCCAAGATAATATGGCCAGGCAATGGTAGGGCCGTGACTAGAACTTAGTGGTCTTGACTCTGTCTTCAAGGTGTTACTCTTATACAGATGCCATCTCTACTGATGATAATAAGCCTGCTCCCAGTAAAATGCCTCTGAACTTCAGATAGCCTAAAGTTAATTGTCTAAAATGATGGCTAATTAAAACTTTAAAAAGACTGTTCATCAAAATAGAAATGGTAAGCAGAAGTTAGCACTTATGTGATAGTTGTTAAAATATATAATTGATTCAATTTTCTCCATTTCCCACTTTCCTTGACTTATATCCTAAAGCTGATTACTCCCTTCCCTATTTCAACTGCTGTTATAAATAATTAAATTTACATTTTTCATTTGTAACTTACTTTCACATTGCAAGGAACATATGCAGTGAAGTTTATTTACTACCGATGGGGAAAGAACTCTTGTTCCATGAGGTAGTTCTTGTTTTCCAAGAAATGGTATTTGTTGCCTATTTTTAGATTAGAAATATTGTTTTGCCCTTTATTTGTGTCCTTGTCTAATCCCCTCAATCTTAGGAAGATTCAGGTTTTGATTTGAAAGCCAGTATTTTAGATTGTGGACCAAAAAGCATGTTCTTTTATCAAGTGCAGAACTATCCCTGACTTTTCATGCTTTTGCTTGTGGGGTAACATTGTCCTCACAACTAGGCAGAGGGTCCTGCTGGTTGTTTTATAAGGAGCTAGAGGAAGAAGATGCTGTGATTTGAAACACCAGACTAAGAAAGTATGTCATGATCCAAAGCCTTTGGGAAATATTCAGGGAGATTCTTGGAATAAGTAATTCCAAGAAGAGGGAATCTCATTTTATCTAGGCAATAGTGCAAGGGTAAATGACAGACTTTTCCAATGACTCAGTGCCTGGCAGCTAGTCAAATGATTCTTGTGTTTTGTCAGAGCAGGTTTGACTTATTTAACAGGAGACAAAGTTTATAGGACTTGATGAAGTGGATAAGTACTGTGAAATTCTTCTCATTTTGATCCAGGGTACCTGGGAGGCTATTAGCAGGAGCAATCATTCAGGAGTAGATGTACGTATTTCCTCCAGGGCTGTCCCCCATTGGGAAACTGAGTGAAAGGGGGGTGGTGTAACATCTTGATGATGTTCTCTGAGAAGGTTGAGTTGGTTTCTGAAGGCACTTGCTGCCTCTGAGTCAATTTAGATATAGTTTTTGTTTTGGGAATGATTTGTTTAATAATTTGTTGCTTTAGGAATGGGATGTGTGTCTTAAGGGGTAGGTTTCTGGTATTCTGGGTTGGGGCCAATCTGAAAGAAATTTAAGGTCTAGAGGTAAAGAGAGTGAGAGTTTGGGTAGCCTGGGGAAGATTTAGGTGTGGTGTGTGTATGTGTGTGTGTGTGTGTGTGTGTGTGTGTGTGTGTGTGTGTGTGTGTGTGTATGTGTGTGGTGGAGTAAGGCAGCAAGGGAAGAAGTAGGCTTGGTGAAAGTCCTTGTCTTCGACTCTTTGGAAGCATCCTTTCTACTACAGTTGAGGAGATGAGCAGAGAGTTGGCACAGCATCCCATGTCTTGCTCACTTGTGGCCCAACTGATAGAGTTGGAAAAGACAGAAGCCTGATTTAGTATGATCTCTTTCATATTTAATAATGAATGGCACTCACACTTGTGCACTCTGCACACATACTCATAGACCAAAGTATTGATTTGATTTCCTCTTTTTTGGGCGCTCGCATTTGGTGTTTGCATTTTCCTCTTTGTGGTTATCGTTTGACAAACTTCTCTATATTCTGTATATATGTAGTTATTTACATATTCTCTCCCCTACTAGACTGTGAGCTCCCTGAGGGCAGCATTTAGTGGTCCCTGCTACATATTAAATGCTTAATAAATACTTGTTGACTGGCTGACTGTTGCACTTTTTTCTTCTCACACACTCTTTAATAAGTGATTTTCAGTGAAACTCTATGGTATAGTTAATGAACTATATTATATGAACATCAATCTATAGGATTTTCTTGGATTGAATTTTTAGGATTGTGGGCTTTCGTTTTGGGAAAGACCTTAGAAATCATCTTATCCAGCACCTTCATTTTGTAGGTGAGGAAACTGAAGCCCAGAGAAATTCAAAGGGTACAAAGCACGGTGCTGGGTGTTACACAGAGAGCCTAGCCTTCTGAGGAAAATGCGCAACGCTGTGCTCATGATATTCTCAGGATCTCCTAAGACTATAGATTTGTAGCTGGAGTGGACAGTCATCTAGTGCAAGTCCGCTTACTTTACAGATGAGGAAACAGAGTCCAAGAGAGGTTAAGTGACTGGTGAAGGCCACACAGAAGTAAGAGCGGGGCTGTGATTTCAGCCTATGGCCTAATACAATGTGATCTGAAGGGGGAAAGAGAGCTGGTAACCAGGAGAATCACGAAAGGCTTCACTGAAGACGTGACCCCTGTGCTGGGTCACGAAGGACAGGCCAGATTGAGGGCTGGAGGTGGTGAAGGAGTGTATCTCAGACTGCAGGCATAGCAGTAGGGGATAGAAGGCTGCACTGGAGGGAAGAGCTGGCAGTCCAGTGTGTGAAGGGCAGTGATGAAATAAACTGGAAAGCTAGGTTGGAGCTGGATTGTGGAGAGTGTTGATTGAATGCCAGGGTAAGGAGCCTGTATTTTATCCTAGGGGGACCAGAGGGTCATGATCAGAAAGAGGAGAGGTCAGAGGTACAGAGAACCATTGGGAGCTACTGAAGTAATCTAGGTGATGAGGGGTGACCTAGATAAAGATGATAGGGGGGATCTGAGCCATCTAAGGGGATGTGAGCTGTACTTTGATACCTGTGTGAGACAAATGGTGGAGGTAGAAGGGACAGTACTTGGCACCTGATAGGGGTGGGGGGTGAGGGAGAGAAAAACCTATTCAGGAAGACTCTGAGGTTACAAACTTCAGTGACAAGGACAACTGTGGTTCCCTCTGTGGAAATAGGGAGATGCTAAGGGACATTGGTCAACCAACCCGCATTTATGAAGGGCCTGCTGTGTGCCAGGTATTATGCCGAGAGCTAAGGCTGCAAAGGTTAAAAAAATGAAACTGTCCTTGCTCTCAAGGAGGCAGCACGTCCATATGTAAGTATGTAGAGAATAAATATATACAGAAGTCATATCCTATATGATAGAACCCAACATCTTGGTAAACCTCAGTGTACCAAACCGTTACAGTGCACAGAGCTCTGGGCCTGAACCCAGGACGACCTGACTTCAAACCTGGTCTCAGACACTTAACTAGCTCTGTGACCCTGGGCAGCTCACTTCACCGCTGCCTGCCTCAGTTTCCTCAATTGTAAAATGAGGATAATAATAGCACCTACCTCTCAGTGTTGTTGGAAAGATCAGATGAGAGAATATTTGTAAACATTAGCCCTAACCCCATGCCAAGAGCTATAAAAATGTTGGCTATTATATAAATATGAACTGTTCTTATTGGCACCTTTCTTGCCCTGCATGTGTTAGAGAGGAGAGTTCTTTTTGATGAATAAATTGTAATCTGAGAGGAAGCGAGGGTCAGTTTCTACCTTTAAAAAGATTTCAGTGGAAAATTAAAGTTGCTTTTTCCTTCATACTCTGGGAAATGACTATTAATTATTACTCCTAAGTGTAGGCCATGGTTTACTTATGGTATTCACTTTGTAATAAACTCTGAAAATGTATTTCAGTTGCTGAGAAGGAACACTCCTAGCAGTAGCCACTAATCTCTTTGTCCAGGGAGGTCCTAATTTGTGAAAGGTGAGGTAAGTTAGTGATGTGTCTTTTTTCATACATTCGCTCATTTGGTCTTTAGAACCATATTGTGAAGGAAGGTAGCTTAGTGTAGCCATTGCCATCTGACAGATAAAGAAACCAGGGCAAGTGGAATGATGGCAAGAGCTTCAGACGTAGAAGCAAAGGACCTGCCTTTGAATCCTGGCTCCTCCATTTACTCCTTAGGGCATGAAGGGAAAGTCACTCCACCTCTCCCAGACTCAGTTTTCTTTTCTGTAAAATGAGGGATTAGAAGCTTACTTACTGCTCAAAATTCTGTATTTCTGGGAAGCTCAAAGGACACGCAGTCTAGGACTCGTTTCACTAGATTATGGAATAGAACAATGACTGTATTTGATCATTTTCTATTTGCTTGCATATCAAAACCCCCAAATTACTAGACTGCACTGAACAAAAAAGTCACAAGTGTTTTTACAGTCTTTTTACACAAGCTGAATCTGAGGTTCTATTTGTTATTTCATCAACTTAATAGATAGATGTGGGCTTAGGAGGAGCTGAGCCCCTGTTCAGTCTCTTCCGTCTCCCCATGCATTTGCTTATTCACGTTCTTATTTCTGGCCTACAGGAGTGTGAGGGAGAGGCTGTCTGAGTCAGTATGTGTGCGTCGGTCAAGTACAACATTCGGGGTCCTGCCCTTATCCCAAGAATGAAGACAAAGCACCGTCTGTACTACATCACCCTCTTCTCAGTGGTTTTACTAGGCCTCATCGCCACGGGCGTATTCCAGTTTTGGCCCCATTCCATCGAGTCTTCAAGTGACTGGGCAGTGGAGAAGCGCAGTGTCCATGATGTGCCGGTGGTCAAACTGCCTGCTGACAGCCCCATCCCAGAGCGGGGAGACCTCAGCTGCCGAATGCATACCTGCTTTGATGTCTACCGCTGTGGTTTCAACCCAAAGAACAAAATCAAGGTGTACATCTACTCACTGAAAAAGTATGTCGATGACTTCGAGGTACCAGTCAGCAACACCATTTCCCGGGAGTACAATGAGCTGCTCACAGCCATTTCAGACAGTGATTTCTACACGGATGACATCAACCGGGCCTGCCTCTTTGTGCCATCTATAGACGTGCTCAACCAGAAGACGCTGCGCATTAAGGAGACGGCACAGGCATTAGCCCAACTTGCCAGGTATGTGGTCTAGGTCCTAGAAGTAGCATAGTTATGATTCGCCCCTAGGTCTCTTTACCCCCGGTCCAGGCCCTTCCCAGTCCTGATCTCTGGGTGGCCCTTCTTGAAGTGTGAAGGACCAGGAACCATGGGGTCAGCTGGATGCTCCCCCAGTCATCCTAGTTTGTGCCTGATGGCAGTCAACCCTCTGCATCTCCTCCACCCGAGGGAGACGGGGAGTGCTGTTGCCCTAGGACTCATGAGCAGAGAAAGAGCTGCTTGCTTTTGACCCTGTGGTTGGAAGCAGCAGCTTTTTGGAAGTAGCTGGGAGGAGATGGTAGTGACAAGTGGACCATGCACTATTTCTGCTGTGGTAGGGGAAGGTCCTCAGCCTCTGCAGTGGACAGATGAAACCAGGCTTTCTACTTTTTTTATGGGAAACAGCTTACTTTTTTAAAAGCATGTAACTTCCATGTATTTCCAAGCTGTCCTGCTTATCTCTCTTTCCTTCTGCATTTCTTCTGTTCTCTTCTATGCATTTGGGGAAATGCCCTCATTGACTCCCTTCTTTCTTTTCTTTGGAGAAGCATTTGTTAAATGCTTACTCTGCACCAAGCATCAGGGATGAGCTTGGGGGTCCTGCCCATGTGCAGTAGGTCGGGAGCAAAGTCTTTCTTGAAATTTTCATTATCATCAGTGATGGTCTGCTCCATCCAGACCAGCCCAACCCTTGTGCAGATCACTTTGTATGGTGTATGAAAGAGCAGGGATGTGAATTGAAGGTAAAACCTGAGTATCTTAAATGAGGCTGTTCATATCCATGTGGGCTTTGAGGGAGCCCAGAAGATGCCTGCTGGGATGGCGACATGCCCAGAATATGCTCCGCCTGTTACTGAAGTTCCTTTAGGTGCTGCTGGTAGCTCTTTGCTTCCTACTAATTAACATTCAAAGTCTCCTGTTCCTCTTTTTTTTTTTAATAGGTGGGATCGAGGCACAAATCAGCTATTGTTCAATATGTTACCTGGGGAACCTCCAGATTATAATACGGCCCTGGATGTCCCCAGAGACAGGTAGGTAGCCTTTGGCTTTTCTCTGTGGTAGATCACTGAAGATCCATAGCAAATGAATGATGTGATTTCTGCTGTTTACTAGAATCCATTGACCTATCCCTTTCCTCCCCATGAAAGAAACTATACTTAAGAGAGCTTAGATTAGGAATTTTTAAACTAGGGTCTGTAGACAGATTTCAGAGGGTCTGTGAACTTGGATGGGGAAAAAATCACTAACCTTTAGCTGAAATCTAACATTTCCTTCAATTATGAATTAAAAAGAGACCCTCTTATTTTGAGAAGGGGTGTACTAGTTTCACCATTCTGCCAAATGGGTCCATGACACAGAAAAGGTTAAGAGCCCTTGGCTTAGATGTTGTTGGGCACCAGTGCAAAAGCCATTTGGAGATCAGGCTGGGACTTTGATGGAAAGTTGGCTGGAGCAGAGATACCTGGGAAGAGCTTCTGAGGGTGGAGCCTTTCGTGGCAGCTGGAATTTTACTTCTTCCAAAGGACACAGTGATTAAGGCCTGAGTGACTGCCCGATAACTACCCAGTCACATTGACTCTCCCCTGGTTACTGGTCTCTCTTTTTTAATCTTTGTGATGTAACAATAATACTCAAATGGATCTGTGTTTTCTTTGACATGGATATCCCACCTCCAAGGTGGAGATCCATCTGCCGATCATGTGTGATTCTTGTCCATTTCCTTCCCTAAGTTCGTTGTGGGGAGACCACTCTGTATACTGGGGGCCTTTCTTTTGCTCGACATTTTGTGGATAGCAGTAGAGCACCTGGGCTGGCCCATGGGGACACCTGGGGCCAGTGGACAGATAAACCCATAAACAGTTCACCTGCTTTTCAATTTTTGAATATTTCTTTGATGGCATCTGGTTGTTCTTTGCAGTTTGTTAGGTGTTCTGGCTCGCTCACCCTCACCATAGATCTGTCTCTCCATAGTTTTTTCAGTGATGCTGAATTTTAATTCTTTTTTTTTTTTGGTGAATTTTAATTCTTCAGAGACTATAGTGTTCCATGACTTGCAGCCATACTGATAGTGAAAAGATAGGCCTGGGTTTAAGAGAGAAATTTGAGATCATTAAAGGAGCTCTGCCATTTCCCACAGACAATCCAGTCTGATCTCCTCTTCCTCTTTTATTCTGGGCTCCATTCATCCATTTGCAATGTCTGTTCAATGGAAGTAAACTGACGGGCAAACTCTATAGGTTGCCTAACTAACTTCATTTTTTCATCTGGACAATACTCTTCATCTACTCACTTTTTCCTGCATAGATGTTTAGGCCATACTGTTATACCTGACAAATACAAATTAGCATGAACATTTCTAAATATAAAGAACAGCAAATGAGGCTTGTACATGAAATGGCAAATCTAAATTACAGTTTGCCCTTTTTTTAAAATTTATTTTTTTTGCTTTTTGGTGAAGCGATCAGGGTTAAGTGATTTCAAGGTCACATAGCTAGTAAGTGTTATGTGTCTGAGGCTGGATTTGAACTCAGGTCTTCCTGACTCCAAGGCCAGAGCTCTATTCACTGCACTACCTAGCTGCCCCCAGTTTTCCCTTTTAAAAAATATACAACAAATTCAGCGTGTTTTAAATCTATATTGCTTGTCTAAATCTCTCTCCAGTCTTCCTTTTGTTCTCTTCTGTAGGTTTTAAAAATGCTTCAGTGACCATTTTTTTTTTAACATCCTCACCCTGCTTCCCATCCTCCCTGAAATTTAAAAAAGCACACAAACCCTTCTTTGTGACAAATAGACAATCAAACAGACCAAAATCCACACACTGGCCATGTCTGACAATATATATCCCACCTTACATCTTGCATCCTTGCTGTCAGGAAATGGGTGGCATGCTTCATCATCATTGCTCTTGAATTGTGGTTGATTGTCACATTGATCTGAGTTCTTACATCAGGATTGTTTTCTTTCCAGTATTGTAATTGGATAAGTTGTTCTCCTGGTTCCACTCACTTCACTCTGCTTTAATTCGTACAAGTCTTCCCAGGTTTCTCTGAGTCCATCCCTTTCATAATTTACATTAAATTTATATACCATAACTGTTCAGCCATGTTTTCCAGTTCTTTGCTAGAAAAAAAGTGCTGCTATAAAATATTTTTTTATGTGTGGGTCCATTCCCTTTGTCTTTTATTTCTTTGGGATATAAACCTAGAAATGGTATCACTAGATCAAAGGGTAGGCACTATTTCACTTGAGCGACTTTTTGGTTATAGTTCCATATCGATGTCCAGAATGGCTGGGCCATATCAGAGTGCATCAACAATCATTACATTCATGTGGCAAGCCTTCTACATTCCCCCTACAACAACTAATGTTTTCCTTTGTTGCCGTCTTTACCAGTCTGATGGGTATGAAGTAGAATATCAGAGTTGTTATAATTTGCCTTTTTCTTATTAGTGATTTGGAACATTTAAAAAAACATTGTTGTTGGATTTTTTCCTTTGAGAAGTGCTGGTTCATATCCTTTGACCATTTTCAGAGGCCAAGCTCTCCAAGTGGTCATGAATTTCATCCAGGCGCATCTTCAGTGTGTTGAGGCTTGATGTAATCAGCACAATGTCATTTGCATATGGGAACATTTGGAAGCCCTCACCATCGGCAGGGAATCGCTTTTCACCTCAGACCCTGTGCTAAATCTCCTTCGTGATAGTGGTGAACTACTTTGGCAACCATGTTTTCTTGCTTCTTTGTATATCCATTGTGAGAAGATCATCGGATAAGATTATCCCCATTGTGATAGCTTCCCAGGGGTCTCGAATGATTTTGATGTACAGATGGAAACACCATGTTATATGAGAGCTTTTAAGGAAATGTTGTTACAGCTAAAAGAGTAGACATACCATGGGATCTGATGATGAGCTGATGACTAGATTAGTCCTTTTCTAGTGCATTATTCTGGACGGGGGTAAGAGCGATGATCATGGGGGCGCTAAGAAACTCAGGCAAGCTCCTTCTGTGTTTTCTCTACTAAGAAGATTTTGGATTAGGAAGAATAGAACAAAAAAAAATAGCAGGGATCGGAAACCCAAGACAAGAGAAGAGGCAGTAAGGCAGCCTCTGGCTGCTGTCCGTGAGTTCAGATTGTCACACCTGGACCAATGCCATCTTAGAGGAAGAGCCAGCAGGTGTGATTGCTGGGTCACCAGCAGTGATCTGTGAAAGATTTTTTGGAAGGAACTAGAGAGCTCCTGCAGGATGAGAAGAAGGCAGATGGCTCTGTTTTCAAAAAAAGGGAAGAGAGTAGGGTGGAAAATGAGAAATCAGTGAGCTTGGCTAATATTGCTGGGCAAATATTGAGAATATATTATTAAGGGGGAGAATTGTGAGCACTTGGGGTAGGACAGGGGTTTCTAAAAGCTGGCATGGTTTCATCCAGAGTAGGTCCTACCATCCTGACTTCATTTTCCTTTTTATCAGAGTAATTTGACTAGTTAGTTGGGGGATGCTATAGACAGACTGTGCTGAGCTTTCTCATGCTTAGTTGTGGACACAACTAAGAGATGTAGACCAGATGTTAGTATAGTTAGATGGCTTTGGAAGTGGTTGAATGACTGGACCCAAAAGATTGATGTCAGCTTGAAGGGACACCTCCAGTTGAATCCCCCTGATATCTGTCCTTGGCCTCAATTGCTGCTCAGTTATTTTTATCTGTGATTTAAATAAAGGCATAGATGGCATGCTTATCAAATTTGTAACAGCATATGCAAAAAAGATCTTGACAGGCTAGAATTATTGGGCAAAACTCATATGATGAAATTGAATAGGATTAGATGTAAAATTCTGCACTTTTCTTCCAAAAATCAACTTTGTAAATAGAACCATAATTTTGGAAGGAAAGATGGCCTCTCAGAGGCCATCTGGTCTAAACTATTATTCTGCCTTGAATGTAATAACAGTAGCAAATCCCATTTTGACAGTTCTTCAAGCTTTACCAAGCACTCTCCCTACAAGAGCTCTGTGAGGCAGGGAGCAGAATGATTACAAGATCACAGAGGCCTAGCTAGATAGCAATTCCTGTGCTAATGATGTAACATGGAAGGTGAAAAACCACCATCAAACTAATGCTATGCTGGGGCTATGGTCAGTGTTGAGACTATAGAAATCATTGCGAGCTCCCACTATTCCCTCCTTGGGTTGGGCTACATCTGGAGGATTGTGTCCACTTCTGGACACCATATTTTAGGAAACACTGTCTGTGCTCCAATCGGTCCCCTCATCTCTACTCCTTCCCCACCTGGGAATGAAATTACATTGTGGGAGTCACCCAGGGCTTTTGTAGGTCAGCTTTGGCCTTGCTTTGCTCAGTTCTGGGTACTTCAAGGACTTCTCTAGCCATGCCACTGAGCACATGCCATTCTTCTCCAGCTCTTTACCTCCTCTTTATGTGTGGTCTTCCCCCAGTAGAATGTAAACCCCAGGGCAAGGACTGGCTGATTTTTTCTTCTTCTTTTTTTCCTAGTCTCCCTAGCACTTAGCGCAGGACTTGATACACAGTACTTGCTTAAAAAATGCCTGCTCTCTTTATTTTTCTATTTCTCTGTCTCTCTGCTTATCTAGGAAAGACAGAGAAGCTAGAGCTCATGTAGAAGAGGGAGAGCAGGATGGTGAGAAGACTGGAGAGCGTGCCGTGCAAGGCAGAGCTAGGACCAGCAGGGGGAAGTGGCACAGAGGCATGGTTTGGTTTGGTGTCAGTAAAGAGTTAATGACAATGGGAGACACCGTGGGAGAGCATGGGTCTCCTCTTTGCTACAGGTCTTCAGGCGGGGGCTAGATGATCCCTCAGTGCTGAGGGGTGTGATAGAAGCCCTTAGGGACCCCTTCTGGCACCTACAGTCTATGACTCCAGGTTTCTACTGGCTCTATCAGCTGAGTGCAAAGTCTGGCATTTGAGGAGGTTTGAGTGAGGTCTGTCAGCAGAATATGAGTCTTATCTCAGGACTTGCCAACAAATACCAACAGCACTGCAGGGTGCCTCTTA